ATTATTTCTTGCCAAAGGGCGGAAAAGTGGGTGGATTTTTGGGGGGTTGTGTTGAAAAGGGGGGAGAAAAATCCCTGTTTTGTTGTGAAAAAGAGGCAGGATTTGGGGAACACGGCTGCCCCCCCCCCCCCTAAAACATCCCCGGGGCACCCCCCCCCCCCCCCACGGCCCTCTACACCTATTAATTACCTCAATATCTGGATCTGCCACTGGATTATGAGTTATATTCAAATAACCAGCACCTTGTAATCAAGTTCAGTCTCAATAAAAGCACCAGCAGGTGTGATAAAGCTATTGTTAGCAGGGTTGTTTGATTCTTTCCTTAGAAACCCCACAAGGAAACCAACACGTCCTGTGTTAGCCATCGTAATGCCTCTTAAGCGGTCAAGCCCTTCTACCTCAATCTGGATGCGGCGTACAATATTCAAGCCATCATCTGTGAAGATAAGCAAGTGTAGACAGGACTGCTCTGCTTCTTGACAAGCAACAATGACTTGTTGATTTGTATGGTTGAATGCAATGTCTGCAAAAGCAAAGCTTCCTTCTACTTTAAATTTAAACTCTTGTTCCCCTTCCTCATTAAACACGCGGATATAGCGGGAGCCATTAAACTCATCTTGCACCAAAACTCTGCCATTATTAGCAACAGTAATAGCCGTTGGTTTCCTTAATTTTCCAGCTCCAATAGTGCGCACATACCAGACTTCACCATGTTCAGTTAGTTTTGTGTTGTATACATCAATCACTTCTTGTTTCTCTTGTTGCAGCAATTTTCCCAAGACCAGAACTTGGTTGCTATTAGTAACAGCCAGACATGGTAGATCCCATCTGCCTGGACTAAACTGTTCTCTAAGGGGAATCTCTTCACACCGCCCATCAACGGTTTTCATGCACACGCCATACTTTGATTCACCAGGTTGGTTCCTTTCGAAAAGAGCATAAATATTGCCTTCCTTGTCTGTAGCTGCATCATAAATCTTCACTTCTGTCACGCCATCATCTGATGGATGACGGAAGGAGGACAGAAACTGGCCACGATCATCAAACACTTTCACGTCACGATCTCTGTTGTCTGCAAGAATAAAATTACCATTCTTGGCGCTAGCGATGCGCCAAGGTGCCTTAAGTTTGTGTTCATCCTCTCCCTCTTGACCAAATGACCTTGGTGTAATGCAAAAGTGTTCCATGCCTTGTTTACGAAGCACTTTACTCACTCTTGCGTCACGCAGTGGATCAATCTTATCTTCTCCTATGTCAACGAAAGGCCAGCTCCAGAGGAAAACATCTTCACCGGAAAGATGCTTGACGTCATAGATTACACGATTTATTAGACAGACTGTAGAAATAATATCTTTCCTTAGTTCTTCATTCAAGAGTTTACTGAAACTTCGAGTTATTTCGTCTTTGAAGCTATCACGAACTGCTGGAAGCGAGTGCAGTTTACCGAGGCAATGATTACACTCTGGTAAAGCATCGGCGGGTTCGCCTGAATCCTTCAAGACGGCCTCAAATAGTGTCGCCATCACGCGGTATCGAAAAGCTTTGAGGCAATCTTTAGCGTCTAAAGCTTGATTAGTTGAAGCCTTTCTTGCTTCTTCGCGAGCCGTCTTGAACCAGTCTCTAGCATTAGATAACGCTCTCTTAGCTCTTCCATCCACTTCGCTTAAGCTAATATTTTTGATCGACTCGGCGAGAGACACTGCATCTGAGGAGTAAGCGCCATTGGCAAGCACGTTCAATGAACAAATATCGACGCTGTCTGCAATCTCGGCATCATCTGTTTCTGTCACCGGCGATAACTCTTTCTGTTTGTCTCCGTTCTTTTTCGCATCGATTACTTCGCATAAGTATTGGAAGCCTACCTCAAAAGCATCTATAGATGACATAAGATCATTACTTGCTATTCCTTGCAAAGTTGATTTGATTTCATGGATTTCGCGTTCGACTACTTTACCAATTGTCTGTTTCGTCAGACCACCTTTCTTGAGTTTTTCGGTGGCGGCATCCCTGCATTTGTTGAAAACTAGCAGAATTGCGCTGGAAATGACTTTATCAATCAACTCCATTATTGACTGATGCAACGACTCATTAAAAATTAGAGGAAAATCTACCTCGTGCTTCGGTGTAGTACTAGCGTGATAATGCAAGAAGTTCCTGGAATCCACTCCCTTTCCGGTCACTGACTCCACGTGCACAAGCGGAAAATATAGAAGTGGCGGATTGAGGACTGGACTGTAAGATAAGTGCAGAAATCGAACCGGTCAGTGTAAAACGCAGACTGCGGACGGCAGACTGCAGACTGCGGACCAGGGGTAAAATGCAGGCTGAGTGCAAAATGCAGACTGCAGACTGAGGGTAAAACGCAGGCTGGGGTAAAATGAAGACCGAGCATAAACTGTAGTTGTGGAAAGGTTTAAGGGTCAAAAAATCCCGCAAATACATGTAAACGAACACTTACTTAACATCTCCTTTCACAAATCCATTCAGGACTTTCTTCTCTAGAACGTTGTCGACGACCCAAAAACATATAATCGCAATCTTGAACCTTTTTTCCGTCCGAGAGACCTCGTACTTCAAGTTTTTGGTACAACAACACGACCAGGAACACGACGATGTTTACGCTTGAATGGAAGCTGCTGACCCAAAATACTGTAAAGGAAGAATTATGGCGATAAAAAAGGGAGTAAATCATTTCAACAACGTAACAAAAAAAGATGTTCTGCAGAAAATTTGGATGACCTTCTATGAAAGTATTGCAAATCAAGGTACACAGACTTAAGCTGTTCGGATGTTCATTGAAACTTCTGGCGAATGTGCAATGCACTTCGACTACTAAGGAAGCGAAGTGTGTAACTGATACCGGCTAGCTATTTCACCGACTTGGAGAAGAAGGAGCACAAATGTTTAAAAAAGTCTACAGTCTTTATTCTGCATTTTGCACCCAGCCTGCGTTTTACTCTCAGTCTGCAGTCTGCATTTTACACTCAGTCTGCATTTTACCCCTGGTCCGCAGTTTGCAGTCTGCAGTCCGCAGTCTGCGTTTTACACTGACCGGAAATCGGACTGGGTGTTCAAGTATAACTGGTGTTCTAGTTAGAGCGCAATCTCTGAAAACACTTACGTTTTTCTCTCGTCAGGCTCCTTCTAATGTGGGCAACACTGTGCCATCACGTAATGGGCTAGAACTCCACAAGTGAAACTCGTTTTGTGACAGGGTCTGAATGGGGGGGTCCACTTGTCGGTTGTCGTTTAAAATTCAGTAATTTTGTCGGTAGTCGGTTAAAATTTTCGATCTTTGTCGGTAGGCGGTAAAACTTTTCGATTTTTGTCGGTTTTCGGAAAATCTCAGTTAATAAGTAAAAACGCTTGTTAATTATTAATATTTTTTATGTATTTCACCCACTTTTCAAGACTTTGATCCCTAAGGAAATAGTAAAACTTGTAAGAATCCCTCATTTGATTGCACCTAAACCGTTCATTAACTCTTGTTTGTTTATGCAACATGGTCGTTTATTTCCATTGTTTGCCAAATGAATATAGTACTGATAAAATCACCAAAGCTTTTATTGTAAATGCGAACTTGGTTTTCCTGTCGACTACAGGGCACAGTAAAAAGTAATTAATTAATTAATTAATTAATTAATGGACTCTAGCCTTTTGGATACTTAAATTACTTTTAGTGAAAAACTGCAAGGGGTGACAGGCTGCACATCTATCCCTCTTATGTTTTGGCTCTAACAAGTATGTCCTTTGCCATAATTTTCCTTTCTCAAAGAAAGAGCACTTTATGTGGTTCTTTTAAATTTTGGCAAGGTAGTGGTTGGTTTTGTATGAGATTCCACTTTTTCATTAAAGCTTCTTTTATAATAGACACTAAGGGCTATATTGTGCCATGAAAGGCAATATTTCTTCTTCTTCCTTGTTGTTTTGCTTCAGGAGAGCTGCCTTCCTTTCTGTGAGTTTTACTTCTAATAGCAATTTTTCTTTCAAAATTGTGTGGCTAGCCTCTGTCCATCAAGCGCTTTTGAAATCTGAAATACTTCCTCAGACTTTGTTCCTAGGATTTTCAAGGCTTCTCATTTGTCAAACAGGCGCTTTAACAACTGGTGGATGATAAGGGGTGAAAATGTATAGGATAGCTTTTTCTCATTTTTCGCTGAATGTTCTGCCTTGGTATATATACAACCGTTTCTAAAAAAAATGTCTCATTTTTTATTGAATTTAGTATTTATTTAGATATAAGATATACTTATTAAGATTTTATTGTTATAATTTTAATTATAGAATATTCCATATCTAGTTTTTTAACTCTTAATTTTATTGTGTTTGTGGAATACCTGTAAATTAGCTGGCGTGCTTTCACAGACCCCGATTTCGGTCCCGTCTACGTAAGCACACCAATATTGTAGCTAAGTGTATTTTCACAATAAACTCTTATTGTATTGTATTGTATTGTATTGTTGTATTTTCAGATATTTCAGCCGTGAATTTCATAGTAGGGTGATGTAAGTTTATATACTTGTTCCGCGAAGAAAGCTACGATGTCTGGCTTACTTATCATGCCTTAGGGAAAAAATGTCAAAAAATGTTTAAAGACGGTTTTGCTTAAACTTTGTGTTTCAATATATGCCATGAAAAAGTTGGAAAGGAAACTGCTGTCTTTGTGCTCATCGCGGTACCGTGGGTTTGTAATGATAGTGCTTTCCATTAAACAGGAAAAAAATTTTCTTTGAGGATTAATCTAAGCATTTCTCGAACCGAAACAAGAAACGTTCGGTTTTTTCGCCTTTGACTTTTCAATTTAATTTATAAAGTCGTTAGCATCTTTAAGGTATGTACCTGTATTAACAAAAAAAAGGGAATTCTTTCCCTTAGGCCATCTGATGAGTCATAAATTTAAAGAGGTTACTTCCTAACGGCTAGAAAAAAAATGAAAAATGCTCTTTTTTCTGAAAACAAATATTGATAATATCAGCCCATGTCGGTAGTCGGTTAATATTTTTCCTGTCGGTAGACGGTAATTTTTTACTCATTTTGTCGGTAGTCAGTAATATTTTTGCCTTTTATCAGTAGTCGGTTAACCCCATTCACACCCTCTTTTGTTAATCACATGTTTAACACGTGTAACATTAACCATGAAAAGTTCTCTACATGGCACAGTTTTTACAACCGCTGCTAACACTATATATAGGTGAAACTCATTATAAGCCAAGGGTAAACCAGGGGTAAACGTCAAGGACAGATTTAACTACACGTGCAGTCGACAAAAATATAACACTTAAATCTAAACCCCATTACTCGCGAGAATCACTTTTCTCGCGAGGGGTGATTTTCACGCGCGCTCGCGTTTCGCTCGCTCTACTATCCCTGAGAAAAATGGGGACTACTCGTAGTCTAAATCCCACTACTCTTTCTTTTTTTTTTTCTTATTCTGATCGTTCTTACTGCCGATATGCAGCTAATTCCACTAGAAATAGTGCATTCTTCATGTGCAGGCAAGAAAATCTCTTCTGACTTGATGAATTGTATCTATATCCATATTATTCTTTCTTTTTTTTTATGTTGTACGTCTTTTTAACCTGAAGCTAAGAAGACTGCTCTGGCGGCCAGCTAAAAATATCGTGTGTTAACTAGTCGTTTCAGCTTTGCAGTAGTCGTTGGTGCTCTCGTCAGTTTCTTCAGTCAAATATGTTTCAGAGCTGATTACTTGGCTCCCGAGGCCAGCGTAGGCCGATTGTTAGCCGCTGTTCGGGAAAGAGAGAGCCGCAGAAATCTAACCTAAGGCCAGCGTTTACGATCAGCTGTTCATTTAATTCTTGATCGTTTAAACCGTTACAGACAGCTCCTAACATTATATTATTGAAAGCGTTGAAAAAGTGTTCCAATCTTAAAGCAACTGGTTAACCAATAAGCTATAACTTTCAAAACACCGTTAAAACTATTTCTTTCTTTTCGATAACTTTGGAGCGTCCTAAAACCGTTCGAGCATACTGAACCCAGGCAGTAGATGTGTACACACCCATTTTTTTCAACGGGTAGAAACCTTGTACTCCGGCGACCGGCACTATTTATTTCATTGTCAGTTCTTAGGCATCATGGCCCACAACTCTTTTCTCTTTTGTTAAATCTCTTTTGTCTTGTTTTTGTTTTTGTTTTGTTTCTTGTGTTTTTCTTCCTTTTTTTCTTTCTTATTACACTCAAGGACATTTCAACACAATTTATACAGAAAAAAATAAAAGGAAATGAACAAATAAAAGTGACTAGCTTAAGCAATATTGGACCGAGGCTATAAATATAAACATGTACGAAGAGGGTGATGGTTCACATGCGTGTGGTGTACAAAGTAGCAAGCTAAGAGCTCTTCTGTGTAGTTGAACACCGTCTTGTTCATGTAAACGGCAACAGAAACTCGGATTGTTATTAAATCGGTAAAATAGCAAGTAAAATCAAATTTGATTATTTAAGAGATGGTAATTTCCAGGGTTTCTTGAACTTTTATCCCTGTTCAGGAGCCTGCCCTGTTATTATATAGGAGACACATTTGAGCGAAAGGGACAATCGACATTATATATATGTATGACTCTTACAAAAATGGTTTGAACTACTTAAAATTGAACTATTACTGCTACGTTGCATAGACCTGGTCACACAAATTCACACTTGAATTCACACATACCAAGTTTCTATTGTAGGACAAATATCACGTGACTAATTTCTGTAATCAATATTCATCGCGAATGGACTCTTTTGGCCGGATTGACAACAACAATCGAAGCTTAACTTAACACGAAGGAGAAAGGTAAAATCGCCACCTTTTGGTCCTAATTTTCAGTAAGTCCTAGAGAAATGTTAGAAAAATATATTTCCTTGTTAATACTTTTGAAACGTCACCTAATGCTGGCCATCTAAAGCAACGAGTTTATATCGCTTTGTCATTGAAGGTTAATTCCATCTGTCTCCTATTTGTTAAATGGTACCCGCTCGGCTCGTGGCTTTTATGACTCTCTTCATAGGTTTCCTATGGTCAAATAAGCCGTGTAAGGTCTTTTCACTAAATGTGTTGGAA